TGCAACATTGTTGAAGTTTTGAGCGGATCCATTTGCAACATTGTTGAAGTTTTGAGCGGAGCCATTGCAACATTGTTAAACCAGGAAATATCACAGATATGAGGCGAAATTATAGGGAAATATCACAGAAATGAGAGGAAATTATAGGGAAATGTACCAGGAAGTAGAGGGAAATATACCAGGAAATGGAGGAATATTAAAGGAAATGTGTAAGGAAATGAAAGGAAATTAAAGGGAAGTATAGCAGGAAATGGAGGGAAATGAAAGGAAAATATACCAGGAAATGGAATGAAATTAAAGGGAAATGTGTAAGGAAATGAAGGGGAAATAAAGGGAAAATTTCCACGATGGGGTATATTATGTCATTCTTCTGGAGTTATTAGGAGATCTTAAAATATGTTAGAATGTGTTAAGAGGTGTTAGTTGTCGGCAACTAACTATCCGATAACAAATTATGGAGAAAATGATTGCTTTTTGTAATATTACGCTTCAAATATTTCCGCGTTCTACGTTGAATGCCTTTGCTTAGACATGACTGGAGATGGCAACAAACGTTGTGAGAAGAGTAGCGCCTCTATAAAAATACTCTAGTTATTCTACTTGATGTGCAACGATTGAAAAGTGCTATCTTTTTTAAAGAATGTTGTGGCTTGAAATTTCGCAACAGAGAAATGCTCTTCAACTTCTGTGATCCCCGTTTACGACCTGAAATTGAGTGTAGTACTGTCAGCACAGAAGGTCATGAAGTTTCTAACCTAATCAGTGATTCTGATAAAGGTTTCTTAGCTTATGCATGTATTAAACCACCTGTTAACATTGACATTAGCTTCCTCTGCAATGTATCAATCAATCATATTTTGATTTGGCCACATGTTGGTTCTCAGAAGTCTTCGGGCTTCCAATTACATGCCAAAACCAGTAATGACAGCAGCGTACCTTACACTTTATTGGCTACTGGATTCTTAGGTCACTCAAATGCTGGACTGCTATTTTCTTTTTCGAATAACAACTATGAAGCAATCTCTGTTCCACCAAATTTTTTAAAACAACATATAAAACCATCTCTGAGATATTTAGCAACATATTTAAGTAACTTAAGGGTGTGTATATGTAAGACAGAGAACTCTGTACCTGCATTAGGCAAAATTGAAGTATGGGGAACTGTATCACCACGTTGTGGAAAGGATACAGTGGCCAGTATTTTTTCTTTATGGTGTAAACAACAATCTTTTAAGTCTGAGTTTGCAGATACACTGCAATCTTCAGTAGAAAAACCTAAGCAGATTGATCAACCTCTTACTGTTACAAATAACAAGTAAATATAACAATGGGCTTTACAATTTATTGTAGAAATGCAATACAAATTCTTTACTCAACAAATGTATTATTGTTTTAGGGAGGTACTGGAATCATCTCTACAAATTCCAGAGTCTTTCTTAGATGCCATCACTTGGGAAATTATGACACAGCCTATTCTGTTGCCTAGTGGAAAAATAATTGATCAAAGCACATTACAAAAACATGAGGAATCCGAAGCATTATGGGGAAGAAGATTATCCGATCCCTTTACTGGCATACCATTCAGTGAAGATCGTAAACCTATCATAGCAGCTGCTCTAAAAATGAGAATAGACAAGTTTCTACTTGAAAACAGTAATGCAGATGAAATTAAGAAGCTGCCAAGAGTTTTAGGTCACACATTACCTTTGAGCATGATAGACAAACAAATTTCAGATGCTCCTAAATATTTGTTAAAGCAAAATAGATTAAATAAAAATATAAGTAAGCCGATGTTGCACACTTCTGTAACAAGTATTCAAGAGAATAAGAAGTTCTGCCACAAACTGCCAGTTATTTTAATGCCCCGTAAACGAAATGCTTCTACTTTAACTCAACCAGTCAAGAAAAAGAAATCTACTAATTCTCATGTATCATTGCACATAGAAGGAGAAAATGAAAAAAAAAATGATAGCTGTACAGATGTAGTAAACTTGAAGGCCGATAACAGCGTGAAGTTCGATATTGCCACAGTAGTTCCTCATTTAAAACGTTTTAACAACATTCCAGAGAACCATGACAAAAGTTCTATGTTGAACACTTGTACTTGTTGTCCTAATGGAATTTTTTATCAACTGCCATGCAAACATGTGTTATGCAGGAAAGCCTTAACATCTATTGAAGATAATCGGTGTTCATTATGCAGAGTGTCATATAAAAACGGCGAAATAAAACGTATTTATCAATAATTTGTAAATACAAGATTCTCTTACATTAATTAAATCCTTATATTACTTGTGATTGTTTTACACTAAATATTGTAAATAAAATGTAATAATAATTTTTAATAAATATATAAAATCTTTTACATTTTATTGCAATGCAATTCTGGATTACTAGTTTATATTAAACGATAAGGATGTATAATAATTAAGTTATATTAAATTGTACTTTCAAGTCACAACAATTTTCCCTTTACCGGATGTTTACTATGTTACAAGTTTAACGTATGTCGTTTATAACCGATCCGCAAAATTGTACAGAATATGTGAAAATTAAAATGCAACATTATTTATTCCTGACGCTTGAATTTATATGAATACTTAATACAGCTTCTCTACGATATGTACAGTATGTGTTGTCTCCGTATATAAAGGACGTGGAATTTGTTTAATGTATAAATTTCTTGTATACAAAATTGAAAAAGCATTTCTTGATGTACGAACGTTTCCCGAATTGTGCATATTGTCATTAATTCCGTGTAACCATACGTTAGGACATTGTTTTAGCGTAAAATTCATAAATTTAAAAATTATCTATTATATATTACTCAGATTAAAGATAAGAGTGTTGCGTTAAATATGTACACAAGTCTCACATGTATCGCGCATATTACATTTGTTAATAAATTTTTTCATTCGTAGCGTAATACTAATTTATCACTTTTTATTTCTCAAAAATATGAATTATCCAATCCACCTGCGGATGGGCAAAATTAAATTAATGTAACGCGTTTGAATGATCCGTTACAAGACTCGAAACCCGCTACCCTGACTTTGTCGCTTGGCAATGTTAAGTAACGATAATAGATAATTACGCGAATCTGGACTAACGTAGAATGTGAGAGTACGATCAGAATGAGGTGTAGCGTTTTCAAAAATATCAGACTGTCCGTCGCTGTTTGTGGAGACACTGGCTAACCCGGTACTGCTGGTTCGCACATATTCCGCCACTCGTGCTCGCATTTCTTGATCCATCTTTAATTAAACAATTTTTAATGAAGATTATATTATTCCTAGAGGTACATAATTTTTATAGAATGGAATAAATTATATACTATACCTCAAATGGAGCAGGTGATACAGGTCTGTTGGTTTCTGTTGTCTCAGGGGAGCAATATAAACATATCGTCGAATCAAGATGGTGATCAGCACTCGTCAAGTCTTTCAATAAAAATATACGCTCTACGCTATCTTCAGCTACGTTAACTAGTAACAGTGCGTGCCTTGTTAGGACTAATGTTACGGCTCGATTGCTGCCTTGTTGGATGACATAATCTGCATTGGTAACGTGTAAAATATTGCCATGGTTGTTCTCCAACAAGGGTAGCAGCCACCAAGCATATCTAATAGACGCATTGTTGTTGCCAGTTGTATATTGAACCACGGGTCGTTGTCGAGGCTGCAAAGATGTATTAGTCGTTAATTGATTTAATTCATACTATTCGGAAACATTTCATTTCTGAAAACTACTTACAGAGGGCAACGAATTCCACCCAGCGCCCTGAAGAAGTCCTTGTCCAGTCAGTGCAACTAATTCTGCAGCTCCACTTAAAGGTTTTGTAACTACTCCGACTAATCCAAGTCCAACTCCAGTCACCAGACTTTTAGTTGTCATCTCTCCTGACCAAACTTGTTGCAAGGGATGATGAGCGATACCAGCCACCGCAGCTAAACAAGTGATATTTAAATTAGCATAATTGTTTCAGTGAAAACGAATTGAAATAGTATTGTTAAGTACCAAGAACGCTCATCCCAAGTCCTGACAAGCCTTGATAAAGCCCTTGCGCCATGCCTTGAGGACGCATTCTTCTAGACTCCTCTTGTCTTTGAAGATGCTCTTCATCGAGCGTCAGGCGATCTAAATTTCGTGCCACACTGGACGCCAACTTTGTTACCGAATTGAGTGTGCCTATGTGAAATAGATTTCTTAAGAAAATGCTGAGAAAATGTGTACGTTCCAACGTAAGCTCATTTGTATGCAGATGTTAATACCTGCTGTGACGTGTCTCATTAAACTGGCTGAACCATGCGTTATTCCAACAATGAAACTCCACGGACCTTGCAATAAACCTTGAAACGGAAGAGAGATAAAGTCTCGAAGCCCTGAGCCAAGGGCTTGCGCTAAGCTTCCTGGTGAACCCAATATTTCCAAGGATCCAACCACCCAACCTAAAGTATAAGCAATTTAAAATATTAAGATTTGAGATTCATAATATTAGAGAGTGTTAATTAGGGAGTATTAACTTTCATACCTGCTCCAAATATAGCGCCAGATAGATAATGCATTGTAAGTGCATTACCAAGCCTGTACGGTGTAGTTAAAACATTTTTCTTCTCAAATGTTCCGAAGTACAGAGGTGAATGATCCAAAGCCACATATAAGCGCATAAAAGTATGAACGCTTAGCAAGATAGATACAGGTTCTATTTTTAAATTTTGTAGCCTTAACGGGGCGCTTAATATTTTCGCGTCAACCATTATGTAATCAGGTATGCACACTCCAGTAGTCGAAATTAATGTTCGTAGCTTCTTTGTGTCATCTGATACTAAGAGTCTTGGTGGTACCATTGAAGTTGCGTAGGTCAATAATTGAGCTATGTACGTGTCCTCGATGTAGGCGCTAATGGGTGCAATCTTTAAATAAATTTCTTTCCATGCTACATATTTAAAAAAAGAAGTTAGTACACGAGTAAGAAATATATTGAGAATTCAGACTTAGTGTTAAATACCTTTTAAATGTCCCTGTTTCTCCAAAACATAATCAATAGCTATTAAGGAATTCTCTCTGATTTGTTTTATTTTATTCATTAAACAATTGTTCGTATAATACCCCATTCCCTTCGTGACAAGAGGACTTTGACTTATCAATACCACTGGGAAGTCAAAACCTCCTTGATCGAATAATTGATTATCGAATTGTAAATCGCCTATGAAAGTACAGAGGTTGATGATTTTAGACCTCGTTGTAACAGTGACTATTACATCAGTCATGGATAAACTTGCAACTTCGATCCTTTGTGTGTTTTCATTCATGTCGTGCATGAGAATAATAGTAACCCCGCGAAGACAAACGGTCGCAGAACCTTTTTTCGAATTACATTCGTCAGGTTTCACATCATCGTTTGCGGTAGCTTTTACGTTATCCATATTTGTAATTAATTGTCTTAAATTGATTTGCGATGGAGAGGCAGCTTCCGTCATTAAATTGTCGTCCTGAGCCGAGAAGAAAGTGGTCACTGACGTCGAGCTATCGGAGCTGTGTACATTTATTATCGTTTTATCATCGTCCAGTTGCTCGATGAACGTGCTATCCATTATTTCTACATCCTTTGTATCGTTCTCCTTGCTCAAAAGTCGACTTCTAATGTCTCGTGCAGACACTTCCACTTGTGATATGGGTACTACATTGATAATCGTGGTGTAACAACAGTTTTGCATGATCAGCTTCACATCGCCATAGGATGGTAGCCTTACATATTGATCTACAGAGGCATTTGATATTGCAGATAGATTTATAACCCTCGACCATCGCAGGTCTCTGTTTTTTGACGACTGCTCGTTCTGACTACTTGTTATGGCAGAAAATAGTAGTACATTTGACACGTTTGAGACAGGTGCATCGGGTAACCTGTTACTAACGGATGGAATTGAGTAATGGCACGTGGCGTTACTTTCAACCTCGCAAATCCATGAGAAGTGAGAAGTGTCTGGTATTATTCCATCAGACGTATCGTTAGCCTGGCCCAAGACAATTTTGAAAGCACAGGTATTTTCGATCAGCAATTGAGGATGATGATCGATGTGGATCATTATGTACGTTGTGCCTTTATCCTCTTGGGTTGTGATAACTACTGGCAGAGTACTGGAACCATTTGGAACAGCCACGCACTTGCGACTCATTCCTTGATCGACTCGAATGGGACACGACCATTTATGCCCTAAACTCAACGAAATGTAAAGTACAAGAGGCTCCATGATGTCATCCATGTACAATGTATACCATTGCGTAATCGGTATCCCTTGTTTCTGGTCTTCCATGGGTGAAATATTGAGGCTGTAAAGTGTGAGATCGTTGGGCAGTTCTAACTTGTTTGCATCTTCGTGCACTGCTAATGTGGCGACGTACAGTTCTTGGGACGTTAAATTGCTGATGACATGACTACTTGTTATGCGGATCAGGCGCATATCTTCGTGCATATTCGAATTGATGTTCATTATAGAGACACTCGAGCCGCAGTCCACGCATGTTTTAACGTTTCCATCAACAGGAATCAGTCCGCCGATTCGTGGCATGTAAAAGCTTTGGCTCCAGTCTGGACGCGCCAATTGGAGAGCTTGAGATGTGTAGAATGTATCGCCAACTCCAACGCATAAATGAAAGGTACCTTCTAATTTCGGTGGTGTTACGATACCATAATGAGGAATTTGGCAAAGTTCGGTATCCTCTGACACGAGAGACAAGTGGCATCCCATGGAGTTCAATATAAAGCACCAGGGTTGTAATTCTAGCAACAAAGTACTCGAGACTAACCCAGCATCCTGATATTTCACTTGCACGTGTGTCTGTGGTTGCTCTGCAGATATCCAGTCCTCAATCAGGTCACTCTGGAAGGGCCACTCTGTTTCTTCGCTTTCGCTGTCGAGATCTTTCAGTATATTATCGATATCTTCAGTTTCAGGTCTCCTGAAAAATTTCCTTTGATCCACAGAACTGTAAGACAACGGCACGTATGGATTAGATGTGGAAACTCCGGATTCCAATTGAAATGTTAACTGATGAAAGTGTTCAAATGTCCCTGGACAATACAGTTGTTGTCGTTCGCCTCTGCCATTTACCATAGTGCTCAAAGATATCTTCAATGAGGGCGTGTCCATCTGTACTCTGACTGGTACTGGTAGGTGTGATCGAATCATGTAAAGTGGGCTGAGTACAGCTAGTACCTTCACTCTGTCCTGAATGGTCTGCGTTACTATTCGTACCCAAATACTTAGAAATTGGCCGTGTTCTTGCCATGGTACTTTGACTAACCACGGTTGTCCCCATTTGGCATTAGGTTGGAGAGGGATATCCCCTGTCCACGACAGATTAGCCATGCTGGTGAACCGTAAACGTATTGCCATTTTTTTATTTCCGTCGAGTACCACGGATGGCGGACGACTTTTGCCATAAATCGTATAGACATCCTTCAATACATTTACCTTGGATCCAATGTCGCCTTCGTACTTGACTAATTTCATTTCGAAGTTGTCGGTTAATTGATTGGAGATTATAAGCTGCCCAGAGAACGTTACGAGCTTTTGCGTAGCAGAAAGCGACGTAACGCTTACAAACGCCGCTGCTTTGGTTACAGAATTGTGAAATTCGACCGCTTGAACACCATCTGTGCCAACAGAGAAGGGTTTGCTCCACAACCAAACATTTTCTTCTATCGCTATCCGTATCATTTTATTGCTGATATGTCGCCACGAGTAAAAAGTACACTGCCTGCTCTCCAATAGTATATTATCCACTGCACCACTTTGACCAAAGAGAATGGACACGTTGCTGTCATTGGCTACTACATAACGTGTGAATAAAATCATATTTTTGTTTTCCTCTTCTAGGAATGTGAACCATAAGTGGGCCGAAACTGCAAGCGTGTGCGTTATCGTCGGTGATATCTTCAACGAGAAAGGACTACACATCAAGGATATATCCGTTTTATCTGATAAAGACAGCTGAAATCTTGCTTCGAAGGGATCGAGTATTTCCTGCATGGTCAAGTGACCATAGTCTAGAACGTGTACACCGAATATACCATTAATATCGATCAACATCGAACCATCTATCCATCTGTTAAGTACGAAGATAGCCTCCTTATGTTCTAAAGACATGAAGCATTGAGTCTCAGGGATCGTACCTTTCAAAGTGTAATTTTTCAACGGAGGTGGCAAAGTACTGTAGTGCATGTCAGCGTTAACATGATTGTACATAGATACGTGTATGACACCGATGTTCAGCGCGGCTTGTATGTTTGGTATAATTGAAGAATTGAAGTACGAATCGATACGTAAGCATGCTGCAAGTATACGCGCTGAAATGATCGTTTTGGACAGTGGTCGGTTACTGGTGGATAACAAAACTACGCGCCATATGCAAGCTACTGCTCGCGCTGGAGCTTTTTCAGGTAATTCTAAACGGTACGAGTCCGTCTCTGATAAATAGAAGTCGATGTAACGTTGATAGGACATGTGACAGTCGCTCCAGTATTCGAGAGCGCAATGTACTTTGTCGATGTAATCGTTATCGGAGTCTAGGGTCTGTAAAAGACAGATTGTACTTAGTACAGGGTATAGTTGAGGGAGAAATTTATAAGTGAAATTACTTACTTCAAATGGAACTGGTGATACATGTATTCGTGTCAATGTCCTTGGTTGTGGGTATCTCCAAGCCATCGATTGTTGAGGATAGGTGAAAAATATAACCTGAATTAAATAGTATATCAGGAAATGCAATTTTATCATAAAGACTACTAAGATCTCTGGTCAAAGGAACTTACTTGATACGGGAAAGGTAGTTCGTCCGCATTACCGTTTACAAATTGGAACGCTCCTGCTTTAAGATCGTCTTTATAATGTTGCTCAGTGGACAGTACAATCTGTTTCTCGTTACTCTTGTTCTTCGAAGGAGAGGCCGTTAATTCATTTAGGAGCAATTGACAATCGTCTACAACGTTCTTTATAATTTTTATTTGCTCTGGTCCGAAATCTAAATAAAGGCTATCGCTATCTGCCTGTATTTGTATTTGGGGAATAGAGTCAGCATTTTGCCATGGTTCCCAAAGCAAACAAAGCGTAATATTACAACACCATGGATTCAAGAGGACTTTTATATTTTCATTTAAAATTGCTGATATGATGAAAGAGTCTATGACCGTGTTGGAATATATTCTATCAGGCCTAAGAAGAGATGAGATGTTTCCAGACAGTAAAGCTAAACTAATTATTATCTCAGCACCGGAATCAGTTTTGAGAGATAATACAACTTGTTTTGTACTTATGTTAAAATCAGGCCAATTCAGTTTTTTCAGTTTTGTTACAGAAGACACCTTTACGTCATCAAACTGTTCTGTTGGTGTTGCTTCATGTAAGTTCATCAAGCATGACAATATCTAATAATAAATAAGATATTGTTTATGAATATAAATACAGTACTATTATCATTAAACATGACCTATTACCTTATTTTGCATAGCGTATATTTGACTCAGTCTTGATAGAGAGAAATAAATTTTTGTCGGTCTGCCCATATCTATGGAGAACTGTGGATTTTTTCCTAAAGTTTTCTCATATTTCAATGTCACAAAAGATGGCGGGATACCTGTATCTGGATGCAAATCGCCATTTTTTGTTTCGAGCATAAACACTTTGAAGTTTTTTTCTGTCGGTATTGAAATTATTTCTTGATTTTCCTTTTCTCCAAGTGCCATGGTCATATCAAAACACGATACCTAATAGATTATAAATTTTCATTAAAAAGTTTTTTTTTTTTTTATAAAATTGTATTATTCGGAAAATTGTATACTTGGATTTTTTGCGATGGATGCTGCTGCGAAAAATAAATATTTGGTTGGTTAACCATTACATAAAGTAGTGGTAGTTTCTGACTTTTGCCCTCGTCTTCTTCAATTTCATTGATATCCTACGTGAATGTTATGTTTCGTATTCATTTTCAAATATAATTAATTATAAGACGTAATTCTTATTAAAGATTTACTCACGACTTCGTATTCGGTAGACACTTTTTGAATATCGTAAAGTACGAATGTTATTTTGCCACAATTTACTAAGAATTCAAAAGGTAAAAGTAAAGAAGTCTCTTGAAGTGGAGATTTACCCTAAAAGTGTAACTCTTAATAAAATAATACTGTTGCATATATATCGACAAATTAAAATTCACCAACAAAACTTACGACAATCGTCGAATTCACACTGGATGTTTCAAAATCAATGCCACTATCCTTAGTAAAATCAACATCGATATCAGTGGAAGCTTGCTTCGTCCACGTAATTTGTTTAACACTTCCCATGGTTGACGAAATCTTATGCACTGTATTGCTAGACGTAGTTGCACTTTTATGTTCAAAATTTCCCAGTAATAAGTTTCTAAATTCATTATGTAAAATTGAAATTAACTGAATTTGATCTAAATTTATTGTCACTTCAATGTCCGTAATGCAATTCACTTCAACAGCACTTCCACATACTGTTATATCCGGTTTAAATAAAACGGGCGGAGCAATGATCAAGCACAGATCAAACCTGTAGCAGATACTTATATTAATAATCTTATACCAACCACGACTAGTCAATTTAACTGTCACATACTTTGATAATAAAGGAAGCATGGAAAATTGTTGTTCTAAACTATTTCCGTGGCCAAGTTTGTTCCATTCTAACGCAGGATTTTCATTCATGGTATAAAGATACGATTGTGATAACTTCTAGAGATAAATAATTTTACGATTATATTTCTGAAACAATTGTAATTTTAAAGGGATCTCGACGTACCTTGTTAATACTGATTTGATAGTTTTTCCAAGTAGTCGTATGAGCACATATGCTTTTAACATTAATTTGGTATTGTCGATCTTCCACAGCCGAGCCTGGTATACTTAGAATATTCGCCTGAGCTGCAAGTTGATATATATCTAATCTCAAAGGTGTTCTGCAAATTGGATTTTCCGCGTGCGGAGTGATACGAATTCCATCCAACTGCAAAAGTACAAACCAATTATTTTTAATTATAAGCTTATATTTTTACAAAGTATATTATTACCTGAAGCATTAACAAATCATGTTGTGGTTTGAATTTCATTATATTCGAGACAGGCAACATCAGCCTGAGTCCTTTGAAATCGAGATATATCAATGGTAACGCTTCGTTATCGAGGGTAGCGACGCTAGTTAAATGCGGTGTTACATTTTGTTCAGGAGTTTCGCCTGTATCTTTCTCAATGGATTGATAAAAACAAGTAAAAGGTTTTAATAGTTGCATGTATTTACTGACTACAGTAAGTGGCAAAATTATATCCACCATTTGCATCTTCACAACTACTTCAGAAATATAATTATTAGTAGATAATGTACTTTCTGCCATTGTATCTTTCTGAAAGATGAAAAGTGAATAGAGTACTTTGAGAATGTTATTAACCTTGTCGCTTAGCGTTAAGTACCTTCTGGGTCTTATGTCGTTTATGGATACCCCACCGCGTATGAACATTTCCCGATTTTGCCCTGGTCATGGTGAAACTAAGAAACCCAGAGTCATCACCTTTTTCCATGTTATCTTCTCTTCCACAAAGTATTGCACCTCCATACTCCCCAATATCCCAAGTTGATGAGTTCGGTGCTCTGTCAAGGATTACTTCAATCAATGTAGTTAAATTAAAATCATAAAAATCAATTGCTTTACACTATACAATTATATACCTAGTATAGTGGAATACGGTGGCAGTTGTAATTTTGCTTTTCAATTTAAGATAGACAGGTTGCAAGTCTAAAGAAGTAATAATGTCTTCTAGTTCGAGGACCAATTTTAACGAGGACGCATTTTCTTTCTCTGTGACGTATAATTTAATTGCGATTTTTGTTATAGTCCACTGGATCCACGCCGTCAAAAGTAATTCATCCGATTCTACGGAAAAATTGAAATATTCAATGCAAAATTGAACGAAGACTGAGTTTATTTGTAATATACCTTGTGAAATGTCATCTTTTGAAGTTGAAACGGTTGAGTTTGTAGTTGTATCTTCAGGGAAAAGTAATTGTGTCGGTGTAGATGGAGTTTGTGGTATGATAGGCAGAACTACTTGTGTTTCGGTATTTATTTGAGTACTAGCTATAACACTTTTATTAGTACCGGTTGAAACTCGCAATACGCTTAAAATACTTGTAATTACTTTATTCATGAAAACTACCTGAAGTAAGAATATTTTATAGTATTATGAAATAATATATGAAAATGAATTTGTTACAGCATTTATTGTAGTACCTGTTCTTCAGAGATCGAAATGATGATAGGAGAGTTGTCGATGTGAACACAAACGCCTAAAGCAGACAATGCATTTCCTCCTGATTGGGATGAAATTTTAGTCGTAAGAGCAACTGTGGCGTTCAATGACACTTTCTTGATTAAGTTCTTTTGCGTTTGTTGTTGTAACATGTAGCAATGAAATTCAACGAGGCTCAACGTCCACGGGAAACTTTGCAACTCTAGAACAAATTGCATTGAGAATAACATTCCTTGGTATACTAGACAGTTTTTTTGTTTTGTTGCTTACTGTTTGTCCACATTGATTTTGGTAGCTTAACAGGCAACTTCTGAAGATGAGGTGCTAGCAGTTCAAAATTTATATTAGATGAGTGAACAAGAAGGCTGGGTAACTTTATTATTAACATTTGTAGATTATTATCGGCTTTTAGTGCTTTGTCCTTTGCTTCTTCTATGCCTAAATAACGTGATAAGCATAATTATCAAAGTTAGCTAAAAATATACATTTCATTCTGCTTGAGTGTATGCTTACCATGTGCACCAATGCCACTCATTGTAGTCGACGGTATGTAAATGACAATATGTCCAACACAACCACTTAATACTAGACCACACCACCATGGATACACTTTTGCTAATCTGGCCAATATTCCCAAATTCTGTAAGTTCTACCATAAATTACATCTTTATAACTACTAACTATATGCCAAAACTATTGAAAGGAAAAACTTAATACATGTTCGAAAGTTACGCATTTTGAAATATCGTAGTATATAAACGATGTACCTGTCGTTCGCCTTTAATTTTTGCGTCAAGTTTTTTTTGGGTCTCATCAGTCTGCAAAGTCTTTGATTTCTCTGTCATTACAACTGATTTCCTTTTTTCCTTGTCCGAGGAACTGTGGACACTTTCGTGCAGACTGGGAAACGTCTTTTTTTTGGTGCCAGTATCGGAGGATGTACCTTCGAAATGCTGTTGCGTTTCAGGCCTTATAGTACACAAAGTGCCTAAATTATAATATGTAACGCGATACTCGAGCCATTTGAAGAACAATGGATCGAGCGAAGCTCGGATGTCTGCCATTTGAAGTGAAATAAGAGGTGGATGTGTTTGTTTCTCAACATCTTTTGGATACTGTATCACAGATGTCAGGAGTGATTTATTTTCTACCTCGCTAAAAAAACCGAAAAAATCGTTGTCAAACTAGAGTTTATAAATAGTTTTCACTGTATACTTACCCATGAATATTGCTTTCAGGGCCTGAGAATATAAGGGCCTGTTGCATCTCGTGTAAAGCAAACATTTTTACAGAACTTATACTTATTTCATTCGAAACTGTAATCATAGATGATAATTTTTTAATATTTATATTTTCCAATAACAACTCCAAATAAATGGGATCTGAAAGGTACAATTAAATTAAATATATTTAATAAATGAAATACTTCTGAACGATTGGTTTTTTTATTAGTATGCTACATACTTGTTTCTTGATAGGCATCGGTGAATAAAGAAGAACACACAAGGGGATTTGTTGCGTCCGTGGGATTGAAAATTGAAGTCACGATAGATGCGGCAACCATTAATTTTGCTTTTGTTCCAGTAACTGTAATACTATCTATATGTGCTGAATACGTTTCATGTATTAAATCAACATTCTTCCAATACTGTGGATAAAGCAACTTTTTGGCATTACATTTAACAGAGTAAGGCATTATTATCGATGTGTGGGAATTTTTAGTTAGATAAAGTTGACTCCTTCCTCCATGTACCTAAAATTAAATAAATTATTACCGAAGATAAAAAATACGAATATAATAATACTCTTGTCTTTTACAGTACCTGTAGCATTATACTCTTATGGCACTGGCGAAACATTTCTGTTGAAAGATCAGTCTGCTTTGAGGCACACGCGGCAAGTCTAAATGGATACAAGGGCTGTATCACACCTATCATTGCTTCGTCGCATTCAATACTCATGAAGGGATCGTCTGTAAAAGCAGGTGCTAAAGGCGCCGTCTAGTCAAACAATATGGAAAAAAAGTAAATAATAATAAGCACATTATTTCTATACATGTACAGTAATCGATTTTATCACATACTCGACTTTCAACAATGTTTCGCTGCCGTGGTAGTCCAGTAATAGAGTGATCGGCTAATTGCAATTGAAGAGACGCTTTCTCTACCACTAATCTTGTTTCAACCTTAGGTACATTTTTTTGTAAGTTTTCATATTCTTCTAATGTAACTGGTGGAAGTTCATCCACGAGTGGATCTAACAATGATTTATTCGATGATTTTTTTAACATTTTATAGATACACAACCCGAATCTAATTGTATAAATACCTGGTTTTGTTACAATATATGGATTATAATCATAATTCGCGGCAGCTTGCTTTATTGTATCGATACGATGAAGAACGCCTGAGCATAGTCGAATTGTTAAATTACTAATTTTATACCTTATATTTCTGCATTCTTTTAAATCGCTGGAACAATATAAATTTAGTCACTTTTATGTAAAAATTTTTCCAAAAAAATATTTAAATATTCGGGTTACCTGTATTCAAAATTAGATCCAAATTCTGCCAGCTTCTCAGGAATGATATCACTTGGTATTTGAATGTAATGAGCATAATTCATAACGAAAGCGGGACATCGCTCTTTTAGTTTTGACTCTAAAAATAATTTATATAAGTAACATTAAGTTTGGAATCTAAAATTAAAGTTCTGTTACCTGAAACTGGATTTAAGTGGTAATATTTCGCACGTTCGTAATTTCTCTCCTTTCCTTTATTTTCCACCGAATCATCGTCAAATAATGAATCTTTTAAATAATCAGGATTTAATTTTCCAGCTACTAGATATAAGGGTGGCTAGATGAAATAATTAATCCGTTTAGTTACAGTTTATATCGATAAAAAAATTAAAAATATAATATGAAATATTACTTGTGCTCCATCAACTACTTCGATATGCCCACAGCTACAATTTCCTCTTGGATATATAAGTATACGACTCATTACAATTTGAAAACTAGTCACATGAATTCCTTTAGTTAACGTATCTACCATCACGCCATTTAATCCCAGTGTTAGGAATGATTTGTATCTGAGTTTGCGCGACTTATAAAATAATTGCTCCTTAATATTTTCAACTGTCTGTATAAAGAACGGTAATTTCTTACTATGTAAGTTTATCTCGAAGTTTAACGCGATTAAAATTTAAACGAGAAATACTGTCTTTAAAATATCTGCCTTAAAAGTTAATGTGGCATCTTTGACATATATGCCCAAATGAATCGTGTGTTCAGAATAAGCCATTTGTTGTTCTGCAGACCAATCATTGTCCAAATCAAAAGGTAACAAAGATGATACCATGTTCCAAGCCCATCCGCTCCATTCTGTTGTGTCTGCAGTATCACCTGTATGATAAATAATGTCATCTGAAATATCATTAAACAGTAACAAGTCTGCTTACAATACAATGCAGAATTATGCTATATGGATTAATATAAGACCTTCAGTGTTCTCTTCCCTTTCCTCTACAGAAATTAATGATTCTTCTCTATTGGATGGAAATTGTTTTGTTTGCAAAGCCATTATCAAAGCAGCTAGTCTCAACAACATTGGTATTTGTTGTTCTGTTATGCTAAATTCCATTTTTTGACAATCAAGATCTAAACGCGTAATGGCAGGTCTTCTTGCTGTATTGCTATGATATTTTATGATTAAACGTATTATAACAGAACATCGATATAGAACAGGATCCTGAAATATAAAATATATTCATAAAGTCTGAAAAATTTATAGTGTACAATGATAAGAAGTAAGTACCTGATATATTTCTATTTTTCCAGAAGCATCCATTTTGTCTAAACATAAAGTTAGGTCCTGAATAGTAATAACTTTCCTAAGCAAAACTTCATATGCATTGACATCTATAAATATATATAATTTTAATATATGTCATTAATTATTGCAATGCAATATAACATACATACCAGTAAATGCTGGTTCCCATTTGTTATCAACAGTTTGCATACTAAGAAATCTGACATTGACGCTAAGAACAATATCTTCTTCCACATATTTTAGAATTAGATTATTACAAATAATTGTTATGTTATTTACAACTTTTGTTACTATACTTTTTATGTAACCAGGTAATGTTACTTCCCTATTAACAAAGTAATATGAGAATGTTTGTTATATTATAAACTAATAAATATAATAATTTTTCTTACTGTGGCATCTCTGGTCTTCTCAGTACTCTAGAAGTACTGGCTTCCACTTTAGTATCATCTTTCAATTTTAAAATGCATTCTTCGAATAAAAATTTCAATTATTTTTATCTGTTTTGAGTCATGACAAACCTTTTATACACTTCTTAGTACTTACCTATTGTATTTATTGTAATAACAATTGGTTCAGAAGTAATTTTTACCCAGGGAACATGAATAAGCAATTCATGTATGTGACCACTAACAAAGACAAAAGGAAGATTGAGTTGTTCTTCCAAAACTTCCAATCGTAAATCAAGATTTTGAAATGATGCATCGCCACCCCATAATGAAACCTGAAATGTACATTAAGATAATATATAGTAGGCAAATAAATATCTTAAAATTATGTGTTATAATTGTATAAAAGATTATACCTGAGATTGTTCTGGTTTAAAATTTTTCACATACTTTTCAACATAACTAAGAATCACTGGAGTTATATATGATTCCAATTTGAACATTGTGACTGATAATTCAATGCATTCCACATACTCTCACAAGTTAAATAAATTTGTATAAATATAAAAAGTTTTGATAATTTTATTCTTTAATTTGCTTCTTCGTGAAGTACATATTCCAAATATATCGATCAGAAAGCTATCAAGCACGATTTAAAAATTTGCATCTTTATCTGAAAATGATAAGATTAATTGACTATCAGTAAGTAATGTAAATAACGTAAATAATGTTGTATTTGGTCTTAGAACAATTACAGTAAACATTTTTAAAGGGAAAGTGAAGTGGGGTGAACAAAATCAGTAGTCACTTTAAAAATTAATTTTTATTCTGCTTTCGTTCCTAGGTAGAGACGTTGTAACTTGTATCTTTCATAGCTATATTAATACATTATTATACAACAAGTCACAACATATTTGTGAAATATGTATTAACCTCAAATTGAACATCGGCAGTCAACCATGCATCGAAATTGCCAATAAAAGCGTGTTTTAACAAATGCGCGTCCTGTATGTATTTATACCGGAACAGTGGAGTAAATAATAACACTATCAATGATTTATAATCGAGGGTTTTGTAACTGTAACTTTATGTTTTGTAAATATAGTTTTATTTTTGCCGTCTGCCTTAACCTTAGCAATTTGACAAGCACTGATGCACTGCAGCTACATGTGACAAGTAACTGTAGTGCGCATGCGCGTCATTATTCATTCAAAATATTTGAATGAGACAACTTAAGAAGAATGAGATGTGTACACAGATTTACGAATATTTACGTTACTTTACGCTACATATTTGTATGAAAGTCTGTTATGATGTAATAACGTCTAAAATATATTTAAATGTTTAAATCATATTGTGTTTTATTATTATCTGAATCCTTTTATCCTTTATTCATCCTTTATTTTTGCATAAAATTTTTAATGCACCCTGTCAAATTTGTTTATGTTTTTCACTTCCAATTTTTATACCTCCTCTCACCTCCTCTGATGTTCATTTTTCATTGAATGCAAGGGAATTTTACTGTCAATTTATGTGTTGCATTAAGTTTAAAAATAATGTCACATTTAGCTGCATATTTTGCAGCTAGAGATTATACAAAACCTGCTATTGATCGTCGTATTTCTGCTTTATTGAAAAAAAGAGTTGGTTTCGAAGCTTTGCCTACGGAAACTCTGAAAGAACGTCTTGTATGGAAACCATATTAATTATAATCTTTATATAAAAATTGTTTATATGTAGTAACGAAGCATTCTATTTTTATCGTGTCCCATCTACGTAGGAAAAATTTAGAGAGCAGCGTAATGCAAGACACGGATTGTTAAAGGCAACCCATCGGCAGGTCTTGGAAGTAGTAGCTTTTATCTTGAATGTGGATCCTGATATTTTAGAAGAAGGAATTATCGATAAAGATGAATACATTCATGTCTTTGATAGCTTCTTCGCCAAAGATGGAAGACATGCAATTATCATACACTTTCAATCAATGGAACCACCACCATACGGTACCGCGAGTCACATTTATCCATTGTGCTAAGTTCTACATATTTATATTTCAACGTAAAATATGTGAATATAGAGTCAGGAAGGTGGAGCATACAATTGGAAGATGGAAGTCACATTTTACGCTGTTGCGTTACTGATGGTTCTACAGAAGAGATTTCTGGCAAATTTGTTCTAGTTTACAGATTAAAATCAAACGTTGACTTTGAAACTAAACATATCATCGAAGTATGTATTGAGTTAGATACGATTACTTATGTGCAATTTGATACATTGTCTCAAATTTTTTAATAGGAAACGTATTATGCATATGCAGAAGTTGATTCCATATCCCACAGTGCACTTGCAGCAGTATCGGAGTTAATTTTAAGATTAAATTTGCCAGCAATAATTGCCAATAAAATGTGGGGCGAATTATCGAAAGATGAAGCTAGCGAGAAAGTGAAGAAAAATTTCATCTGTGATTTTAGAGATTTCTGCGAATTTTTGAGTAGTAAGATGTTAAAATCTACGAGTAGACAACATTCTATTTAGTTCTGTACAGTGATATTATTATTCTTGTATCGTGTCTAGTGACTAAAATAGATTTAGAGAACACAGTCAAGTTTAAAATTGACTGGATTGTATATAATAAGTATCTAGCTCTGCCAAATGATGACAGTTACACCAATCCCGAAGCTATCGCAGCTGTCGAAAATGATGTTCGAAGATGGATGAAAAGCATAGAACGGGTGAGATTTATAACTGTTAGTCGATATTTTGATAATAATGGTTGATTGGAATACAGGCTGTTGTTGAGAGTCAACAATTGCGCAGGGAAACTGAAACAATGGGACCAAATGCAGAACTCACTTATTGGAGGAGACTATTGGCACGGTTTTCATCGATAATTGAGCATATTAAATCTCCTCATGCTCAAAAATATCTCGATTTTTTAAAACGAATAAAATCAAAACACATGAAGGTCCCTAATCTCTAATTATTAATCGTATAATATAGATTTCTTATTAAAACAGTAATAAGAAGAGGTCTCTTGCACATTTATCTCTAGAAATGGAAGACATTGGAAGGTCACGTCAGATCCATACAAATCCTTTCAGAAGACAACGTAAAGTATTTGTATGCATTACAAAAATTCACACAGCCCTTATACAGGTTTGATCCAACAAAAATTGGGGACTATCTACCTCCACTTATGTATGCTATACGCATGATTTATGCTACTTCACGATTTTTTAATACAAGAAGGATGGTCACAGCTGTTTTTGTGAAAGTACAACGATTTTTCTATTTTAAGTTTACGTTATATACAATTTCAACGGTTTAATTAAAATTTTCAGATGACAAATCAAATGATTTTAACGTGTAAAGATTATTTAACAGAGGATGGCAAAGTAAATGTTTGGGACGAATCTAAATCTGTTATGATATCTAAGATAAAGGTGGCTGTTTAAATTAAATTTGCTGGTGAAATGAATATTCTTAAATAATTGCTATATTTTAGGATTGCACAAAATTATGCGAACTATATTACGATTACTATAACGACATGTGTAAGCAAGTAAGAGAATCACCTAATGAAAAGCCTTTCGAGGTGTCCGAGATGTACGTTTTCGGAAAGTTTAACACTTTCAAATCAAGAATAATAAAAGTTAGTTGCTGTATATATTTAAGAGAGTTATTAGAATGTTACGGAGGGTGGATTACAAATATATCGATTGCATTTCAGATTATGGATGTTTTCCAGATAACATTAGCGTATTCGATCCTTCATAGTTCAGCGATACAAGGAATCGATGTGTTTGCAAATAAATTTACAAGTTTTTTTCAGACTATCGCGTCGCAAAGTTACGACCCATTAGATCACAGAAAACCATATTTTGATGCAGACTATGATAAATTTAAGAAAGATGTGAACGAGACTGAAACAGAATTAAGACGTTTCTTTTATAAATGCGTCTCCGAGGCTCCAAATATAGCGGAAGCGTTAAGGGTGATAGCGAGGTAGTTAATTTAGATTGATGGTTTTATTTCATATTCGCTATCGTTAAAGACGGTATCTAATTTACGATTTATATAGATTCGAGAAACTGAGATTCAAGCATTTAACAATCGATAGGAAATACTTAGAACTTATAACATTATTTCAAAAAGAAATCGAAGATGTACGAGATCGATACAACGAAGATAGATCGGATCCACCGATACCGCGAAATGTTCCACCGATTGCCGGTCGCATTTTATGGATCAGACAGCTTTATAGACGCATCGAAAGTCCGATGGAAATATATAAAAAATGTATCCGAGTGCTAAGCCACGACTATATGCAAAGGTGTATTAAAATTTACAACGCTCTGATTAGTGTCTTTATACATTACGAATTAATATACCACAAGGCATGGTACGATTCCTCGGATATTGTAAGTATGATTAATGTACGATTACCATGATTCACAATCATTCGTTGAATTACTTAACTCGAAGGTACGATTGGCATTGGCTTCGCCTTTGCTCATACGACATCCAAAGACCAATAAGTATCACTTAAATTTTGATTCGTACATCATCGAAGTGATACGCGAATCGGAATACATGGATAAATTTAATTTAGATGTACCAGACTTTATACAAATAATAGCGTTCTGTAAGAGCAAAATATTTTCATCGTACGAGATAGTAAAAAATTTGATCAGCGAGAACAACGAACTAAGGTAAGCGAATAATGATTTTCTACGAAAATTAAGGAAGATAATTTTAGACCACGCTTCAAATTGCAGACGAGGGATACCGATATTGTTTCTAAATTTAATAAAAATTGTTCTCGCTGATCTCGAAATCGCCTTCCAACCTTGCCTATCCGTGATAACGTGGACATCATTGAACATCGACGAGGTGTGCGATAAAATAAAGGAGGCCCTCACAGCCGTGCAAATTTTTGTTAAAGAGATAACAGACATGAAGGAGGCAAGGGTCGACGAAGTGTTCGAATCAATTTCTACAGCTGAATTACTAAAAATTGACAATTATCCAAAAGAACCGACCGTGCTTTTGGATGACAATACCACCTACGTGAATGCAGTAGGCGTTGATCTCGAGATAAAATCAGCAGCAGCAGAAAACGCTATCGTAACGATCATCAATAAATTCATGGATTTCATAGTCGACGAATCTGTCCAAAACGTTAAATACAATTGGATGGATCCACAGAAAGTGCACAAACACATTTCGCAGACGAAACTGACACAAGGGAAATACGAACCCGGTACGTATACTTTGTTTATTGATTATTTCGAGTATTTTGAATACTCTGGATTAAATAATTTTCAGGTTTCGCACCCATCGAGAGGACGCATAAAGTTCAAATAAACAAGGTGCACAACGATTGCATGGAATTGTTCGCGTACTTCAATAATAAACTAATAGATGCTCTCGTGAAAAGCACTAAGGACTCCCTCGAATCATTGAAGAAATACGTCTTCTCTTTGAGGTTTTCCTTTTAATGATACGTTCGCTTAAATTTTCTTTAGGCTATTGGAAACTATATAATCAAACATTTATCGTGTTTTTTTTTTTTTTTATAAATCCATCGAAGTTCAAGTATTTCATTCGAATTCGTTTTCTGTGAAAGTTAATTTTCAAAATGAAATTTTTTCGAGCTTTTTGGACGAAAAGCACCGTCGTTCGTACATTGGTAACGCTTAAAATGTTAAATAAATAATTTATATTGTTTTTGTACCAACAACTACAGACCTATGATCCAAGATAAAGACGGAACATGGATAGAAGCTCCAATTATGTTGACCACATTCGTCCTACAAATCCCGAATATTGTGATAGAACCTCCTATAGAAAAGTTACAGCATTACTTTGGAAAGCTAATAATTAGCGCTCTGGAGGCTCACAAACATATCATTGTTTGGGGACAGCGTTATTCGTCGAACAGACTGTCGGGCGGTGGCGATGGTACACAAAGTTGGTATCACGTGAAAATAATATAAAATGTAACAAACATTAATTTTCTTATTTTCGCAAAGAGAATACCAAGTCACTGAAGAATTACTACGAAATAATATCCGATCACAAAGAAATAGTCCGCAGCGTAATGAGCCTGCAAGGCGCGATTATCGCCTTGAAAGACGACATCGCACAAATTGGGAATGTACG